ATCACCATAAAACCACTATGAAAAGAAATGATCTAGAAACTCACCTCTCCCTAAATCAGAATGAATTCTGATGGCTGAGTAATCAAAGTCAAAATCAATCTCTCTCTCTGATACACACACACACACACACACACACACATACACAGTTTCAACAATTCCACAGACACTCTTAAAACTATCCCACATTGAGTCATTAGCCAACGAGCGTCTGTATTTTCTCGAGCTGCAAACATGGCATGGGGAGAGGCAACAAAGAGAAACTTAGCCCGAGCAAAGGGAACCGCGGGTTGGGTAGAAACCATGCTTTGCAGGACACAGACAAGGTCTAACCTAGAGATCTTTTTCTGACCCAGAGTGAAGTGGATGATTTTGCTTTGAGATGAATCCTTGAATGAGGCACTGCATGACAGGAAAGAAAAAAGTGGGAGAGGTGAGTGGGAGGGAAAGGACATTAGACACACAAGTAAGTCACAGAAGTCTTATGACAAGAGAATGCCCCTGGTTTTCCCTCTGCCCACCTCTTCCACCAAACGCAGCTTGAGTTTTACAGATTTGATCATTTCCAAAGTGAAGAAATTGCTATTAACATGACCTAAGAACCTTTGTGGTTTTCTTCTCTGCTGCCAGTCACGATCAGGTTTTCTTCTACTGTAAGACATTGAAGCGAGGGGCCTCTGACAACTAAACACACTTTGTACCTTTCTAAAACTGTAGGTGCTTTTATTGTTCATTCTACCAGGGTGCTTTTCGATGTATGTCCCAATATGCCATAAAGTAGACCCAAAACAAGGGAATAGATGTCTGTAAATATGGCTGGTCTTAGGCATTTTTGCTCTCAATGGTATAAAAATGATCGTTTGAAGTATTTTGAACTTGCTAAGTTCTGGGCTTTGGAGCATAAGTTTGTACATCCAAAGAATCTTGGTTGGTCTTAATAGAAGAAAAAATTAAATTTATTTACTGCTTTCTGAAAGAAACATCTTTCTTATATCAATACATCGCATATCATATTCAAAGAAGGATCTGAGAAATACAACCAGGTGCCACTAGACTTAGGAAGTAAAAAGGAAACAGAATAAAAAAAATTAATTTTCTGCATTTTTCCTAAACAGCAGAATATTGATAATTATACAGTAGACATTGGTGAAGAGGGAAGCAAGTCTTGGTGACCATGCTCCTCCCCTGGGCTCCAGACTAGTGAGGACATTCACAAGGTGAAATATGGATCAAGTTCGTCACATAGATTAATAAGAAGCACTGAAGTGAAGAGGTAAGACTGTGCCTCCAATCAGCTGTCATGCAAGAGCTGCTGTCTGTATGCCAATGTCACAAATCTTCCTTGCCAGCTTCCACACTCCTGGATTAACCAAATTCATGGAAAAATCACTAAGTTTTCATATTTGCAATGGAATGAGGTACAATTCAGGCATGTTTCTCTCTGGCAATGCTCTAACAGAAGATCAGAACAAATCTGGCATTGGAGGCCTGCGTCAATATTTGACATAGATCATCAAGGACTCAAACCATTATTTTTGGCAAAGACAGAATTTGGGGATAGAAGTACAGTGGGACTGAGCCAGTGACATAGTTTCAGTATTCTTAAATTTACAGCCAGAGTGTTAGCATGGGATATCATACCCCTTGACCCTGAGACGATGACCTCTGGAACAAAGTATTGGGATATAACGGATGAAACTGGTCATCTTCAAAAGTAACCCAACCTGGACCAAATAAAGGATTAGTGAGGGCATAGAGAAACTCTAAATTCTGGTCATGTCTCTGCATTGCAGGGTGAGGGGGCCATGATGATGGAACTACTCTGGAATAAATGAATATAAAAATCTGGCATAAGTGAATTTGGCTGTTCTTTAGGTAAAGCATTTATTAATAACAGGATGTTTTTCTTATTGGGAGATGGGTGTCCTGACTGGAACATCTGGTTCTTTTAAGAAAACATACGCCTACCGTAGAAATGGATGCCCCAGGCTGCCCCAGCTCAGTGACACAAGCCCAGTGTTTCTCTACACATGCTCTTTGGAACCCTATGCAGCAGAATGCTCTATAAAATAAGATGAGTCCTATGGCCAGGTTTGAAGAATGCTTTCTAAGCCCTTCTGAAGATTCACAGTGCCCACGTGCTCCTCACCCAGGCTTCCACCTCTCAATTTATACCACCCTCTACCTCACTACTCAAGAAAGACATCTTGGCTCTATCTGCAATTTCTCTCTCCTTCACTTCAGACAGTCAGTCTATATGTAGTCCTGAGGCTCAACATCTGAAATTGGTTCCTCTCCATTCTAGCCCTACTGTTATAGAGCAGTGAGAGGGTCAGCCCAAACCCCGCAAACCTGCCTATTCTAAATGGGTTCTGCCATCCGCCGCATCAACATAAAACATGAGACTTTAATGGGAAGGAACTTTAATAAAACTAGGAAACAATACAGGTAAGGCAAAGAGTCTAGTTTCTAAATGAAGCATCCAGAGTTACCCGTCCCCTCGTGGGTAAAACTCCATCCATATGGGATCGGCCCAGAACAAGGCCCCAAAGCCTGCCACAAGTCTAAAGCATCTTCCAGTGGGGACCCACAGCAAAGGGTCAGAAACAACCAGACAAGCCCGGAAGGAAAAGAGCAAAATCAACATCAAGATAAAAGCTGCCATGGTCACCTCCCCACGGGTCTCACCCACATCTGTGTCACCCAGTCCATGACCAAAAGACAACCGCAGTTGCTTCACATGTCTCCAGGCTCCACGCGCCTCCTCCAGGTCTCCTGGCTCCATCCTGCTTCCTTCCTCAGTCTCTTCTGCAGCTTCTCCTCTTCCTGCTCAGCTCCACCCTCCCTTGGGTGGGGCAGGGAACCTCCCCCTTTCCTGGAGACCACCCTGTTACACTACCACCTTGATCCAAGCCAGTCTCATCCATAGGACCACAAAAGCCTCTTGACTGGGCTTCTTCCTTAGACTCTTACTCCTCTAGTCTTAGTTTCCAGAGAGGAATAAAACTGTAAGTCAAGTCTCTCTCCTACTCAACACCCTTCATTGGCTTCCTGTCACCTTCAGAACAGAATATAAACTCTTTATCCAGCTTATCCAGTACTCTGTGACCCAGCCTCATGTCACAGCACTGCACAATGTCAGGGGCCACCAGTCAGAGGTCACCAGACATTCTTTCTTAATGTAAATAAGGGGCCGCTTTGCTTACAGGCTACCTTATTATTTCCCATCTCCCCTCACCCATGGAGCTCCATCCCCACTAGACTTGTCTCTGCTCCTCCAACCTGCAAGCTTACCCCTACCAAAGGGCCTTTGCACCAGCTGCTCCTTCTTTCTGAACTCCACACTTGAGTTTTTCCTGGTTAGCTCCTTTCATTCCTATCTCCACTTTGGTGTCCTGTCCTCAGAGAGACCTTCCTATCAACACAATCCCTCTGAATACCACTATCTTATTATAATCTTACTATCTTATATATATTTTTCCTGTTCATTTGCCTGCCTCCTCCAGTATAATATAGAAAGAGTGGTTCAGCTGGGCCTAGAACAGGGTCGGGCACATAGAAGACATTCAAACATCTATGAATAAATGAGAGTCTATTGTCAGATCCAAGGATCTGAGCAGACCTGCAATAAACAACTTAAACCAGATTATTTCCCAGTTTTTCTCCTATAAAACCCTTCCCCTGTAAGATACCATCAGGGGATAAGCACTCTGCAGAGTACAGTTTGAGAAACCATGTCCTGACCATTCAGTCATTTAGGTCCCTTCAATCAGAGAATGGATCCCACTCAGGTGCTCTTCAGAGGAGTGTCTGGCTGCTCTATCCCTCCTTGCCGGCTTAAGTATCTGCTAGTCCACAAATTTCCGTAATGTGACTTGGATATAATTAGACAATTAGAGGATCTAATTTACATTACATCACTACTGCTTTTAACACCCTCACAATCAGGAAACAGCACTTCTCCTGGGCAAAAAGCTGTAACCATTGACAAGGCAGATGTTATTTGAACATCTTCATGCTTTGCCCAACTACAATGGGTGATAAGGGTTGAAGGAATGTGAGAAGCCCTATGATTATTAATACTAGAAAGAAAAGGCTATTGTTCTTTAGCACATCTTCAATGAAATCAAGCAATCCACTTGACCAGAGACATTCAGGTTTGACAGTTAAAGGTTTATAGCTTACAAAAAAAATTGTGAACTTTTCTGCTACAAGTCAAAACATTATAGTTCCTAATCTCCCTCCTTCCTCTCCCCATCCCCATATTAAAACAAATGGTTTACAAGGTGATCTTTCCCAGAGCTGTTTAGGAATGAAAGTGTTTCCACTGTAAAATGTCTGCTTGTCAGTCACTCTATGGGTCTTTGGTAAATCCCAATGGCAAGCATCAGTCCCTCTGGAAACACCAATGAGTTCCAGGCTCTAATTCTGTAAAGCAGAGAACCCCAGCTGCCACCACTGCCCACTCTAAGGTCGACAAAACCCGGCAGCAGCTAAGCTAACTGCTCTCTTTATGGGACATTGCCCTTAGGGAACATGGATTGCTCTTTCCCTTCTAAGGACCACCTGCCACCTTTCATGGGCATTCTAGATTTTTCTAACAGCAAAGCAAAGACATTTCTAGAGCTTCCACTAAGTGAAACTACTGTCATATATTAACACAGAACACTGCTGTGGACTGACAGGCAAGAGGAGTTTTGAAGTCTATTTTAGGGGCTGTTTATTGCATATGGGCGTATGTGTCATAGGCTAGAATTAGGGCAGGCACAACTAATTAGCTGTGGCTGCAGGCGATTCTGACCTGGGAGAGCACACATCTCCGCCAGGCACGGAGAGGGGCCTCCTGCACCCATTCCAGCATCATGCTCAACCCCCGCTGACTCCCCATCCTTCTCAGCACTGAAGAAGCTCAATGATAAACACATTCGGTAGAGGCTAGAATTCGGTCGATGGCGAGCCGGCGGCCTGAGCAAGAGAATTCTCAGTTGGCAAGGAACCCCCACCTGGACTGCATTTCAGCTTGTGCTTTTGACTGCTGATGAGGCGCTGGCTGGTGAGGCTGGCACGGGACTTGGGGAGTGGCTGGCACCTGTTGCTGAGGAGTGCCAGTCTGGCACTGGGAGGGGGCCCCGGCCGCCTGGGACACGGCAGGCGGCAGCGGCGTGGAGAGGTGCTGCTTTGGGGGCTGTTGCTGCTGCTGTTTGTACCGGGAGAGGCTGAAGAAGAGGCCTAGAATGGCCTTGAGGTTTCCATTCCTGATTTCTGCAAGACAAAAAAGATTCTTGTCAGAGATGGGTGCCTTTTCCTGGGCGCTGCTTCCTGCTCCTTGCTCCCCTTCAATGGGCTGCCTCAGCCCTCACATGAGTTTAATTCCTCTAGGATATGACAGATTTCCTGCACACGTAATTGGTATCACAGTCAATTAAAATCAGGCTTAAACCACAAAGAAATTAGTTTTATCCTTCCCCCTGGGAGGAGCGTGGATCCATGAGACAAGTAGCAACTGGATGGGTGTCTGGCAAGTGCCAGGAGGAAATTCTCAGTTAAGGGCACAGCAAAAGGAGCCAGAGTCGCGAGCAAGATGGTGCTTGCTCTCTACAGGCAAAGCCAGTGATCTGGGGACCGGGGCGCGGTCTGGCTCCAGGGGATACACAGGTCTTCAGGGGCTCTGCCAAGTCCCTGCTCCTGCTCTGTGCTTCAAGTCGCCTGGCAGTGCCAAGCCAGAAATCCTTGCACTGCTTTCCCCAATCATCCTTCAATATACCATTGCCTCTCTCATGCACTGGGGAAATAACTCTTACTTTGGGATGGGTGTGGGTACTGCTTGTAGAACTTGCTTCCATAAAGAACTCACAGAACTCCGATATTAAAAGAAATTAGAGCACAGTGGGGATAAGACCATTTTTATTCCAGATGGAGTTTTTAGATGTTAAAATGCATTTGCCTCAAGGCATGCATGAAGAGGTACAGAGAAGGAATAAAACATTTATTCACAGGCAGAGCCAACAGATCTCTAAGCTGTTTCTCCTGGGCAATCCCTCCCTCTACGCAGTTCTTTTAATACCAGATGTGATGGCCAGGGTCTAAACTGACCCTGGGGGTGAAGTAAAAGGGCCACCCAGCATGAGCCCCTCCCCCCCAGAAGGAAGAACCTTGCAGGGTGGGGGGTGGGGGCGCGGGGCTCCCTCTTGCTTTGCTTTGACTGGAGGCTAAATTTCTTTTTCTGAACTGGCATGGGAATTACAGGGGGTGGGGTCCAGTGTGGGTAATGCACACCTCCAGGATGACCCTGGGCTGGAAAGACGCAGCTGATATGGGAACACAAGTTTCCTGCAAAGACCTGTTGAGAGGCAGAAGGTTTGAATGGGGTCCTTTCAGAAACAAGCCCCATTCTGTGCAAAAGAGGGAGGAAAGGCAACCTGCCAGCACCCTGGCTGTGATCTGATTAGGCCAGGCTGGATTACTTCCTGTCGCTGAAGCGTCTCTCTCTCTAGGCTCTGACAACACAAACTAGGAGAAGCCAACCTTAAAACTCTCTCTTTTTGGAGCTAGCAGTTTCTGATCCTGAGACAAGACAGACAGGAAAGTATTTAATAGCTGTGCAACCTTGGCCAAGTCACTTAATCTTTCTGAGCCTCAGTGGCAATATTGACACAATTTGCCTCATCACACAAAAGTTGTTTTGCAGATGAAATGAGAGCAGGTATGTGACAGCACAATGGAAACACTGAAGTCCTCTCTGGTTTTTGCAATTCTATGAGGACTTTCCCCAGAATTTTGTATGAGATTCCCAAACAGCTGCAAGCTCCATCCCTCAAAAATGGTTTTTACTATGATGAATTTATAATTTGTCATGCAAGCCAGGATTCTTTTCAAAGTGTAAAGAGGGAGCTTTTAATTACAGCAGGACAACTAGAAGCCAGGACTGACCTGGGCAAACAATGATGGTTATAAACCATTGTGTGCATGCAGAGAGCAGAGAACACTCCAAAGAGAGATGGCTGAGCTGTCCAGCTTCTTTGGGTAGTTTAGCTCTAATCCTTCAGCTCTGCTTCCTTCTCCAGCCTAAGGAAACCACAAGGGAAGCATACATCTATGCTTTGTTTCCTTTATGCTTCTAAATGTTCTTAGGGGGCGCATTTGGGACACAGAATATGATGCTTGGAGGAATGATTTAGTTGGCTCCTCATTTTACCATTGAGGAAATGGAGAGTGATACATCTGTGGGCACCCAGGTAGTTAGTGATGGGTGCTAGGGATGCAATCAACAGGTGGTGTGCTGGTGAACACCTGTTAAGAAACTTGGGAAAAGAGTTTCCCCTCAAAAATCAAATTTACAGGGGCCTCCCCGGTGGCGCAGCGGCTGAGCGCTGGGTTGCGAAGCTGCCCGCAGCCTCTAAGGCGCCAGTTCGATCCCTGGCTGCTCCCCGGCCACCGGAGGAGGGTCCCACATGGCGTGCAGACCTCTCCTGCCGCCCGCTGCTCCCCTCAGCAGTGTACTTCGGTCCTTCTGCCTGCTCTGCTCCCTGCTCTGGCTCTGGTGAATTTTCTCACCCTCCCGCGCTTCTGACTGTACCCAGTGCATGTATAAACAAACAAACAAACAAACAAATAAATAAATAAAACATGCCTCTATAAAAAAAAAAAAAAAAATTCTTTAAAAAAATAAAAAAAAAAAATCAAATTTACAGGAGGGCAGAAGTAGAGCTAATCACAGGAAGAGATGAAACCTATCTAAGGTTCACTTTTAGTGCCTTTAATAACTGTCATCAGGTTATATAGTTTGTAATAACAAGAACTACTACTAATGGTATGTATCTAATTAAGGTCTTTACATGTGAAATATGATTTGATCCCTCTCTTAGAGAAAGAGAGGCCCAGAAATTTTATGTCTCCTCCAAGGTGATAAATGCTAGAGTTGGGATTTGAATCTAGGTTTTTCTCACTCAAAACCAAGCCTCCGCTTATGTGTATACTCATCACGAGTGTGAGCTTTCTTAAAAACACCCCAGATAATATTACATTTATTCAGCTAGCTGGTGGGCATGTGTAGGGTAAGGAAAAAGGTCAGGCTTTTCTGCCCTCCTGCCATCAGGATAGATGATGGATCCTTGCGGTCCTGAATGCATGCCTGATGGCGGGCACCTGGAATAGGGTGTGGGCCGAGGTAGATGGGTACACCTGAGCTAAGAGACTGATTTATAAGGGTGGTGCAGCAGAGTGCGGTGTGGTGGTAGTGCGGTGTTAAGGGTGGAGCAGTGGAGTGTACGGAGGAGAACGGCGGCTACAAACAATGGCAAAGAGCATATGGCTGCTAGAACCAACCGTTCATTAACCTGCCCGGATTGGGTTGGTTGCTTTACAATTGGCGTAAGTCGGCAAGATGATCCATGCAGACGGGTATGGAGCCTGGAGGGACTAAGGAGTAACAGACTGTTTGCCTGTGACAACGCTGTAGGCGTCATGGCGGCACAGGAGAGGGACAAGTTTCAGGAGCTGCAGGATGAGACCTCGTGTGGAGGAGACGCCTGAGAGGACCAGCCAACGATCCCTGAGGCAGCAAGAATCGTTGGAAGAGAGACCTACGATTTGGAGCTCACCAGTGCTGATGCAGGGAGAGGCCAACAGACTTGGACTAATGGATTCAGACTGATGAACTTGGACTGACAATCCTGCCAGAAGGCGGAGGATCTTCGCAGGTTATGGTTTTTTTGTTTTGTTTTGTTTTGTTTTGAGAATCTGGGGGTGGCCAGTGGGCCTTGATGGCCAAAAGCAGCCTGTTATGCCCAGCAGCCAGGCAGAGGAGAAAAGCCAACTGAGAAGGCAAAAGCTGGTGCTGATGCTAAGTTTGGGAAGCCTTGAGCACCTGTTAAGCAGCCTGGGTATGCTGAAGCCCTGTGAGTCTCCTAAAATCACCTGTGGGTGATGCCCTGCTCGTTGTCAAGTGAGGGTGAGGAGCTGAGGAACCCGTCCTTGGGGGACGGGTGGGGAACGTGGCTTGGGGTGGAGCCCAAGACGAATGTAGAGTTTGGATCCCCGACCCATGTGCTTGTGCAGTGGGTTGGCCTGAGTGCAGGGGTCTGCGAGTCGCATTGGTGGTTATGAAGGCCGAGTGTTGGAGCGACTGCAGACAGAAACCCTGAGGGTTGGCGATTACCCCCAACAGAATAGAATTGCCAATCCCAGAGTGAGTGCATCCTGGGGGTGGATGCTGTGTGTGGCTTGTAGCCGAGACTACAGCCAGAAAAGGCCAGGAAGCCTGATAGCTCCTGGTGTGTTACAGTAGATGCTGTGAGTGATTCCCCTCCCTCGTATGAGCAGTGCCTTCGGCAGCAGATCTGGTGGCTCATCTGCTGGTACCAATAATTTTTTTGCCACTAGGTTGGGGCCCTGCCTGGACTTATTTGTGTTCTGTTGTATTGTGTTATACTGTGATGTATTTGCTTTTGTGGGCCATGGCTGCATTTATGTTTGCTAAGACACTTGTATATATGTAGATTGTGTGGCAGAAAACCTTGAGGGGGTGGACTGTATAGTAAGGAAAAATGTCAGGCTTTTCTGCCCTCCCGCCATCAGGATAGATGATGGATCCTTGTGGTCCTGAATGCATGCCTGATGGCGGGCACCTGGAATAGGGTGTGGGCCGAGGTAGATGGGTACACCTGAGCTAAGAGACTGATTTATAAGGGTGGTGCAACAGAGTGCGGTGTGGTGGTAGTGCGGTGTTAAGGGTGGAGCAGTGGAGTGTACGGAGGAGAACAGATACTACAAACAACGGCGAAGAGCATGTGGCTGCTAGAACTGTTCATTAACCTGCCCGGATTGGGTTGGTTGCTTTACAGCATGGAATAGTCTTTATTCTTCTGTAATTATTCTTTTATTATGGAATGTGTGAAATATTCCTTGAAATATATATATAATGTGAATATTATATATTTAAAAGCACACGGGTAAAATAAAGAAAGGAAGAATTTACAATTCCATATACATATACCCAGGGGCTCAGGAATTGTCCACTGCAAAAAATAAGGTATCAGAAACTACCAGCCAAAGCCAGATGCAGACAAGTGGAGCCAACTTGGTCATATTCTCTAGTTACCTAATCATTAAATAATTAATCATTCATAACTGTTACCTCACTTCCTAAAACATTTTTTATTTTATGGAAACAGAACGCTCCCATAAAATACACTTTCTCTTAGGTGATAACATTTTTATTATAAAAGGCATTGGTTTTTGGGAGTCAAGAAGATCTAGGTTTG